AAAAATTTCCTTGTAGTTCAGATGGTTACATCCTGGATTTTCAAAGCGTAGACCCGGATTCAATCCCGGGTGAGATTATGTGGCAGAAAAGTGACACTGCAGCAGATTTTTCTCCAAGTTTCTTCGGTTTTCCATTTATTACTTCAGCATTTCCCTGTATTCATATATCACTGCCTCCTCATGTCTTTAATCTGGGAGCCTCACCATTGAACTGGCGTTAACTGACTACAGATTAAACTTCTTTGATTGAAGAAGTTTTTACTGAATTCAAATATATTCAAAGGGTATGTACGTGGATGTACTAGACAATGATTATACAACGCCGAAATAGAATATTTTATTTATGCTTTCCGACAGTTTTCACAGTTACGGTTATTTGCAGTAGTGTCTTTCATAAATATGGTCATGACAGAATTATCATATTAGAACATTTTACGGAAATTATAGTGCATTCCTTCCTATTACTTCACACAAACCAAGTTAGCACATAATTTTCGTATTCAGTATATTGAACCAAAATTTGTTTGGCCTCTATACCAGACGTAGGTGGTATGCAACTATTTTTTTATTGCTAGTGGGGTGGAACTAAGTACCTTGTACTGCGGTCCCTTCTGGCCTATTTTACCAGCCCCAGATGAGAGGTGAGGGTCATTGTGGAGCAATTGGTGGAATGAAGATTGGCAGGGGAAACCGAAGTACTCGGAGAAAACCTGCCCCAGCGCCACTTTGTCCACCACAAATCGCACTTGACCAGACCCCGGGATCGAACCCGTACCGCCGCGGTGGGAAGCCAGCGACTAACCGCTTGAGCTGTGGCGCGGCCTCTTGTATGCAACTAACTACTCGCAACGCATTTGAAATATTCTACTTCACAGGCGTAGATTTAATGTAAGGTGGATGAATGTGTGATTTCAAAATAAGAAGGCTTTTTACTTATTATTTATCATATTTTCATCCAATTTTTCCAATTTATCCTTCCTCCTTATGTAATTGTGCATTAAAGACTCTTTTCATATATGGCTTCATAGTTCGGTGTGTTAATGTGTTTAAGAAATAAATTTTGTGTGTATTACTATATTTGGGGGAGAAATAAGCTGAAAAAATTAACACATGACTTACATATTATTACCAGCAACAGAGTTTAGGCGAAGTGGTGTGTTCCCTCCAGTATAAAACCCTTATTTTTCAGCCCTTAGCAAAGAACACCCTATTAAATTTCTTTAATATGCATGACATCATTGACAATTTTCCTGAAACATTATCTACTGTGCCGTCATTAACACAACGAATAACTTACACATTTCCGAAGAAATATCACCATTTTAAAAATTATGAGCATCAAACAGCAATTTTTTTCCAATGTTCGTTACAAAGTTAGAGCGAATTTATACCATAACATGAAATCTATCTCTCCAAAACATGACACACTGTTATTTTAAGTCCTTATGCATAAACAGACATGTATACAGCATCGTGTTGTTATCGGTTTGTTGGATTTGTAATTTACCTTGAATATACACTGCCGACAGCAAATTGTATTCAACGAGCCCCCCACCTAAAACAATTGTTTAGAAATAGAACAAAAATAAATTGTTAAAATCATGTTGTTCATATAAAATAAATCACATATCACAGCAATACCTCAAATCTACGAATTCAGTACAATTAAGCTTGTAGTCAGTGTTTTCATTTACACTTTGATTTTAGATAAATGTGAATGAGTTCCACCACGTTTAACTGGCATGGCGATCTTTCACACTTTTTGAAAACTTAAACGGGCCTGTAGCAAAGTATTTGGTAATTGCTGCTGTGTAGCATGACTTGCTAATAAATAATAATATTCTAATTTTTATACGATAGTGTCAGAATGTACTTCATACTCGTCATCCCAGTTCTGAGTATCGTTACAAGCGATTCTTCGAGTATATTCACAATTACGATTAAGGCAACAGAAAGCTCGCACCATGACTCCGTCCTTGTGGTCGGATGACGTGTCATTCACAATTTAAAAAACAATTCTCTAAAGTTGATGACTCACGTTTTTGGAAGTAAATTTTATACCTGAGAAATCTTTATTCCCTTACGTTAAAACACGTAAGGTGTCTTATTTGTTCATAGGGTGACTTCGCCCTGCGAAGTAATGTGGTTACTCTTTTTTGTTTTTCCTTGGCACTACAGCCCCAGTGGGCCTAGGTCTACCTCCATGAACGTCTCCGTTCACTTTGGTTTTTCTAGATCTTACACATTCGGTAGGACTCATTGGGCGGATGATCAGCTCGTCGCAAGGCCTGTGGTTACTCTTACATCTAAATATTTTTTTTATTTATGAACAAATTGTGGAACCTGGGTAGCGCAGTCGGTATAGCGACCGCCTACGGGCTGGACGACCGAGGGGTCGGAGTTCGAGTCCCTACTGGACAAGAATTTTCTCTTCTTCATATCTTCCAGACCGGTTCTGGAGCTCGCCCAGCCACCTATACAATGGGTACCGGGGATCTTTCCCCCGAGTTAAAGCGGCAGGTTCGTGAAGCTGACCACTCACCTCCAGCTAGTGCCGAAGTCAAGTAAATGTGGATCTATACATCCGCTCCCCCATACGCCTTTACTTTTTTACTTTTAGTGAACAAATTGTGTTTTGGGTTTTGGTGTGATATTAAAAACAGATAGTGTTTATTTCTATAGATGTAATCACCTAATTGGTTCTTAGAACTTGAACAAATTATGCAGTTTTTAAAATATAATTCTGCTTTCTTAATACTCTTACATGTCTGTGGAATACAGGTCCTAAAACGGAAGGTTCTGACCTCGAATGTTCTGTGCTAGAACACATCTTAGAAGCGCCAGCGAACTTTCTTGTGAAACTGAATCGAATAACGCAAGTCTACTTTTTCCGGCGCTATTAGTTTTAAAGCTGAATTACGTGAAAGAATTCGAGGTTATTCCAAACAAAGAAATACTTGTAAATGTAGAAATGTCGGATTTCAATACAGACAATTAAACAAAGCAACAAATCTAAAAATATACGACTTCAGTGTGGACAAAAATATAAAAAATCCTAATACATAATCTGTCTCTATCTATCTGTCTGTCTACATACCTATCTATCTATCTATCTATCTATCTATCTATCTATCTATCTATCTATCTATCTATCTATCTATCTATCTATCTATCTATCTATGGCTCTGCAGCCCTTTATTGGACTTTGGCAGCTTTTTCAGTTTCTTTACCTTATACACAGTCGGTAGGACTCCTTGGATGGGGGATCAGCCCGTCGCAAGGCCGCTACCTTCACAAAGAAGAACACACACAGACATCCATGCCTCGAGTGGGATTCGAACTCACGATCCCAGTGTTTGAGCGGGCGAAGACAGTTCATACCTTACACCACGAAGCCACTGAGATCGGCTTAATACATAGTACGATAATTAAAAAATAATAAAATTAATAAATTCAAGATTACAATCTTCTGCAATATGACGCCATGCTATGTGGGAGCTAGGTGCCAAAGATTTGGAGGAGCCTGCCGCCTTTATATTCAGTGCAGAAGACGGAGGTAGCAGGTCATTTCGACAAGTTTGTACCAAACTACACGGAAGCATGCTCCAGAAGACAGTGATCGTTATGCTTACCATTGTTGCCACCTCAAATCTGACATAGTGAAATATTATTACATCGAGTATTGAAAGTTTTTGTACAGTAATCTACTGTGAGTAAATGGAAGACGTTTTTGTGTACGTACGGCGTTGTTAATCCATCACGTTACAAATGTTACTGTTTTCGTCTCTTCAATTCTGCACAAGTATCTGCAACACGTGCAGTGAAATCTGTTGAGCACATTGAGAAGGAAAGCATAAATTTACGGTCTAAATATTTTCTTTTGTTCTAAGGAGTATAATTTTCTGTTTAATGCTCACTTAGGTAGTACTCGAGCGATGGTGTATTTTTTTTTCATGGGGATTTTAATATGTTTTGCTAACATTGCGTTAAACGAAACTGGTATTTGTAAGAGCCTTAGATTTCCCTGTAATGAGTTCTGTTGAACAAAAATACATAATTATCTTCAAATTGACAATTTTAGTTTAGTTCTTAGGACACAGATTCCCGAAAGAAATTGTTTCTTTCGGTGTAATAGAAGTGTTACGACTCGTAAGAATAATTTGACTTCGTATTTATGTATGATGGAAATATAATGTTTATGACAGCTGCGTGGAGCGACATATTTGGCAACTATAACACCCCTGAAGGCCTTTTTAATTTACTTTCGAAATGCAGGCGGAGATCGGCTTCCTTTATTTTCTCTCAGTCCTTCCAGGTGAACTGACAGCTAGTACCCGCAAAATAGGGCAGTACTGCACCCACATCCTTGCAGACTCATTATTCACCGTCACTCTGTCTCAGAAGACGTTACGTGGCCTGAATACTTGATATAGCTTACTAAAATAACGGAAGGCTCGACACATTGCGTGCAATGTCGAAGGATCGGAGAAACATTTCTCCGTGCTTGGTAATTCTGTGACATCGAGTCTGCGGTTAAGCATTTTTTTATTGCTCCATACAGCGCAGAGAAGCCACATTCACTGGCCGAGTTCCATATATACTCCATTTTTTTAAAGGTCTAAATAAACCAAATGAACTAATTCATCGAATTTCAAGGTCTAACGTCCCATGTCGACTGCATTCTCATCCTCTTATCGAATTCTTTTTTTATTTTTTTAAATTCTTCAGACGGAAGGATTTTAGAGGGATGTAAAACCGAGAGGAAGGGTTGAGTGGATAAAGGTAGTGGAAACAGAGCGGGAAATAAGGAGAAGTAAGATGTAGCTTTAACATTCCGTAGTATCTTCTTACCTGCTACTTTATTGCTCATCCTCTGCATCCCCTCTTCTTCGTCATTGACTTCATTTCGACTCGAAGCGAAAGAGAGAGTGAGTGGGTTGGGAGGAGGAGAGGTCGAGCCAAATGCACCAATCATTTCCAAGGCGAAGACTACGATGACCGCTGTGAATTCCCAGGGACATTACACGGCAAAGTCAATGGTATGCGGCATCCAAGCCGTTTCTATATAAAACGACTGAATTTGGGGAACAGAAGCAAAGAAGCTGTTGGTGTACGCAGGAGTTCAACGGCTGCTGGATACATTCGTCTTCAGTTTGAAGATACAGTCTACTTTCTGTCTTCAGAATGAATCATTGTCTGGTAAGTTTTAGTGATTTACTTTCAACCTATAAATTTACTTATTAAAATTAATTCAGAACCCATTAGTCGAATTTGATGTACCCCACTTCGGGCATTATTATGATCAGGCCACTTTGTCCGTCTGCATGTTTCACACAGAAACACTCAATTTATTTTGTGTTTCTCATTGGGGACAAAAAATTGTTTGGCATATTTACTTTTAGTCCTAAATATATTCAATATTAGGAGCCGGGATAACCTAATTATTATAGTGAATAAGCTACTGGCTAGACAATCGAGGAATCGGGGTTCTATTCCCGACAGGGGCAACAGATTTTTCTCTTCAGTACAGCATCCAACCCAGTTTCAGAACGCACCCAATATTCTACTTAATGGGCACGTTGGGTCCTTTTCCAGGGATGCCCTGAAGATGGAGGCAGTAAATTTCTCCGAAATGTTGATATCTGTCTACAAAAACTCAACGATATCACGACCCAGAAAAACATAATGATCCTCTTTACCTTCTTTCAACTTCAGATATAAAAAAGTAAACAACGGCAGTAACAAGATCACTTACAAAATATATTTACTCCGTTTGAATACATATTTCCACTCTTTGATACATTTGTGCTGATTGTATTCAAAAGATATATGTTCTTGTTAAACCGAGCAATACAGTTCTCACGCAATGAGCGGAACTGAATGTTGAGCCACTAGGCTCCCCATACAAGTCTCCTATTCGAGAGGTCCCCATTTCGAACGTCGACCAACACACACTCTCTAATTTATCGGAAAGGCTCTGTGATTCTTCTCAGCAGTGGATATTATTTGAAATAAGCAACGACTGTTCTTTTGTTTGAAACTTACCTTTCTTTATGTTACTCTCAACGCCAGTTATGCGTTTGATAGAAAGCATTTAACATTATACAAACTGATCCGTAACTGAACTGTTTTTGAATGTCATATTTTGCGTTAACCAAAATATTACACTTAACAGTATTGTTTCTTGATTTAAATTATAAGCAACACCTTTTATACATTAGAACTCTCACATTTATAAATTTATTTCGCGTGGGAAAGAATAGTATAAGTTTTTGCGCTATTATGAAATGTAATAAATATATTTCAATTTCTATGGGTTACGACATTTTAGTTCAGTGCCTTCTACTCCGATCATGCAGGCAGTAGATTTCTTCGAAATTTTGGTGCACATCTACCAAACTATACGGCTTCACATCCTAGAAGACCAATAAAATAGCCTTTCTCACGTACTTCAATATATTTTTTGCACTTCTATAGTTAATACTTTACACTTCTTTATAAAGTAATGTTTCTTATGATGAAATAAAAACGATTTTGGTTATGCATTCTTTATGTTACAGTAGTCTTACGGACACAAATTCTTTTACCCGGCGTTTAGTTCATTTTTGCACGCCAGTCTTAGTGACGGTTATATTTCCATCTCCTCCCTAACCATTTTGTGTGTTAATGTGATTTGCAATGCTCATTCAGACCTATTACGCGAGTTCTAAGAAAGTGAGTTTCTTCAGTGTGTAGCAGGTGACATTTCTCAAGGCCGTACTACACAACCTCAACAGTTGAGCAAATACGTTACGCGGTTTTCTAAGGAGCGACTTGTTTGTACTCAGCACTTCGCTAACCGCTCAGACATCAATACATAGTTGAATATTAACCGGGGAGAGAACTGTTGCTATGCAATGAAAAATGTATTTCCCATTCAAATAACTCGTTTCAGTCCTTGGTAATTTAAACCATAGCAACTGCGTCAAGGAATATGTAATCCAATTAACTTTAATTACGCATGTGACATAGCCCATATTCCCATTGACAATTTACTGCGCGTGCGCATGTGAGTGAAGATAGAAGTGTATAGTCACTTAACATTCGCGCCCTTAAAGTGGGAAGAACATTGTATAATTCAAAAAGTAATAATACATAACAACACAAGTAGGTCTTACGAATTGTACCATATTTTGAGACAACCTTAAGTCATTCGGTAGAAATTCTCCGACGTTTCGGAGGAACGTACTGCCCCATCTTCAAGGACGTACATCCCTCCGAAATGTCGAACTGTTACCGAACAACACAGCGTTACATCCCATAATATAATACTGTTCGTATTAACATCTGTGAGAATATTTACTCGAGCATAGAATAGGTCCTAAGTTTATCCGTGCTTCAGAACCCAACCTGTGTCTTACCCTACCCCGCAGACCTACAGAGGAATTAATGTGCAATATATTTCATACGCATACATATGAAAATATTATTACGACGCAGGCATTTGAATTGTTAATATGAAAACTAAATTACTTTCCCTGCCAATTACGAATGCATTCTCTGCCCTTTTATATTTTACTTTATATTATTATTGTGTTTATCTCATATATGTATGTAAAATTTGCATTGAAATTCTGTTTAGTGCATTCCGTCTTCCATCGTCCAATTATCATTACAAAAATTTTACTCTTATAGCGTGTTTTGTGAAATACAGTTTAAACACTGAATTTTTTACGCATGGTAAATTTCAGGGCTACGTTCGAAAACTTCGCGACTATTCTGATGGATGAATTTAGAGCTTGCCTTCATTATATCATAGGGAAATGCAGGATTTGGAGTTTAAGGTGCAAAATTCTTATGGTTATGTCATGAAAAAAAATAACATAGTTGAAATTCATTTTAGCGGAAATTGTGCGCGGAAATGAATTATTAAATTATATAATTGCCTATTTATATTTCTTGTTATCCTCACTGTATATGGGGAAATTAATTAAGCACCTCACCATGAAGACGTATGGGGAATGGAGGTACGGCACCACACATTCTTATCCTCTGCATTAAAATGAAGTGAGAGGTCAATCCCATGCCTCAGCCCTCGAAGAAATAGCCTTTGATATCCCGTGTATCAGTTCGGTGGGCTCTACAGCCGGTCTCGACGCTGCAGAGAAGAGAAAAATATGTTGCCATTACCGGGAATCAAACCCTGATACTCGATCCTTTATTGGGAAATCTGATCACTATACGGACTGAGCTATCGAATTATCCGCAGAAGTACTTTTTTGAGGAAGGACATTTTAAGGGCATTCAAAATAACATGAAGCTGATATATTTTCCGATGACTAAATGCTACCATATGACACACAAATATTTATGCAGAATATACCTGTGATTGCTTTTGCCTACAGGGAGTGTTTCTGCTGGTTGCGGCGACTTGCATGGCTGTCGCACGCGCCTACCCAGCCGGCGAACAAGAAGCTGCCCCAACTGTGGTAACCAGGGAAAAAGTCGGACAGCCACTTGTCGTAACCAGGGAACAAGTGGGGCAGCCACTTGTCGCAGCCAGCGTTCCCCAAGATGAGACCCTAGGGACAGCAGAGTCGGCATGGGGATGGGGTGGCTACGGCAGAGGCTGGGGAGGCTATGGTGGCTATGGTGGCTTTGGTGGTTTGGGAGGTTACGGAAGAGGATTTGGAGGTGGTTACGGTGGTTGGGGTAGGGGATTTGGAGGTGGTTACGGTGGTTACGGTGGGTGGGGAAGGGGTTTTGGGTACTATGGCTAAGTACGTCATTGACCGCAGATGATAAACGGACTAACGACTGGTTCTCGTTAACTACTTGCCTCTCTTGCGATGGAAGATACAGACTTTCTTGTCGCAGTGTGGCTAATTGTTTCAAGTGGTAGCTGTAACCTGTTCAAGATTGTCTGAATCAGGGAAACCACTTTAAATTGTTGGTAACAATTCTCGTCTCACTGTGTTTATACATTTTTTATACCAAGTAAATATGTCAACTGATATACCGTTGTGTGTGGAAACGAATAAAGATCTATGTATTTCTATAAACATTTATTATTGTATTGAGATCCTTTACATATCATATCGTGAGAAAATATTCTTATGTGGATCTTGAACAGTTATTTTCAATGAGTACTTGGTACACGTTATCCAGAAGTTGAATATTAACACAGAAATGGCTACTAACCGACTGATTTATTTACAGCATCATGGTAGTGGAATCTGAGGACTGAAACACAGTCGCCCAAGATTCGGAGGTACTTCCATCCACTTCTCACTCTGACGCCTTGTAATCTGGTAGATGGGTACTAACGATTCGGAGTAACTTGCTGCATCCATCTTCAGGGTTCTGTACCTGAAGACGGGGCAGCAGGTTAATCCGAAAAATTGGTACGCATCTACAGCAAAACTATACGGCTTCACGCTCCAGAAGTTTGTAATAGTAAAAGATGATGAGATCAGCTATTCCTAGAAGTTGTTGTGAAGGCTGATCATGTGCAGTTCATGACATCAAGAGGTACCAAGACCATAGTAACTATATTTCTAATTTGGTGCTAGAAAGTATAATTTTTAAATTGGTCTTGACAACAGCGCGCTTTTGACAGCTCAGTCGGTATAGCGACGGGCTACGGGCTGGGCGGTCGGGGTTCGATCTCCGACAGGGACCAGATATTTCCTTTCTCCATAGAGTCCAAATCGGCTCTGAAGCTCGCCCAGGCTCTTGTCCAGTGGGTACTGGGGCTCCTCCGGAGGTAAAGTGTCAGGGCCTTGAAGTTTACCACTCCCCCACATCTAGTGCCGAGGTCAAGAATGGTGGAGCTACACCTCCACTTCCCCATCAATCTTAATGTCGTAGTGCTTAGTCACATAATTAAGTACAGGGACAACTTACCTTTTTTACCTTAACAGTGCCTTTTTAAAGCGTGTATTTACTTTTTGTCTATTTTGTTTAAACTTATGTAAGTCTCCTTAACAACAGAATTGAGGAATATTAACTTCATAGGCTTATTGGAAGTGCATGGCGGTAAGTTCAGAATACCTTCAGTCGCGTACGTTGCCAACTTTCCACTTCCCGCCCTTTTTCTAGTAACTCATTCTTGAAGCATTAGGTACTTAACATTTTCCGTCCTGATATAATCAAGAAAATAAACTTACCTCTCTGTGTCTCCTCATACGTCACATTTTACGTCAACAACCTAAAAAATTCATCTTTGTTCCTTGTTTATGAGAGTGGTTTACAAGTATCGATGGAGGGAATCAAAGAATACGTGAAAGAGAATTGGTAAATACATGGAATTCCAGACATGCGCAGTACTTAAATTTAATTCACGAAGTTCTGTTCGCTAATTGAAGTACAGTCTGTCCCTCAAAGTTATAGCTGTGCTTGCATTTCCTCCAGTACCTAATGATATTTTACTCGCTTTGCATAGCGACCAGCGTGCTTGGACTCGGCTCACCTTCGGCTCCGCTCGGCACGTCACTGCTGGCGGGGGGGGTCCTCCATAGCGCAGCACGTCACAATATTTTAGTCATTACTCTGTTCTTTTGGAAGTATGTAGTAACAATTCCCTCGCCACAGATTTTGTGTCCACACTGTCATAACTCTCTTACATCAGTAAGGCATGCCCAACAGTGTAGGAAATCTCCGAAAGCAGTCAGACAGTAAAATATAGTCATGACCTCGTGGTACTCGGTACCAATAATCGCTGTACTGGCGAGGATCGTTCTTGAAAACAGAATTTACAGTTGTTTCAGCTGGTTGAGAGACTGTACGCGTTTGTGCTGCTGGAAGTTTCATTGCTCTGCTGCGAAAGTTGGGCCCTATACTGAACCAAACAGCAGAACAAGTTGGCTCAAGCGGTAATCCTTGTAGGTTGCATTCTCGGGGTGTCCGTTTCGAATATTCACCGGAATACCGGTTGTCCTGACTACCGTGAATAGTAGTTTACACCAAGTCCTCTGGACATATAATGGGATAGTAGCTCAAATTCTTACCAATTCATTATTTACTGTAATCATATCATTCGACGTAATATAATATGAATTACAGGCAATGTCGTTAAATAATAAGTAAATAAAACTGAACCAGTTGAATCGAGTTACACTCCGTTCCTCCGAGATCCATTTAGATACTGTAGGGTGTATACGCTGATGCTATGCAATGAATGCGAGGTGGCAAAATATACAAGAATAATTTCTAGGCAACGGCTCGGTAAACACGTTCCCGCGCCAACAAATATGTAAGCAACAATCGAAGTTTTGTTGGGTTATAAAAATGGAAACGGCGTTTTCTTTGTAGTTCGTGCCGAAATGTTATTAGTAGAGTCAATCGAGTTCCAGAGGGGATAGCTAGCAGGTGGTTTGTACGGGAGTCGGTGAAGGAAGGACCTGAGCGCGGGAAGCTTAAGAATTTCCACTGTTAGAAGCCGTTGCCATGGAACGGCTATTGAAGACACAGCAGGCTTGAAAATGCTTAGCGGGTGCTGTGGTGATTTGTGAATTGTGGAGATTAGCGGTGGCGCTGTAATCACTTGTAGTCCGAGTCCGTGTGGTATAAGTGGTCAATTCACCAATCGAAACCCTGTCTATAGTCACATCCCTAATAAGTGACAACACTATGTTTCCATGTACTCATAGATCTTCTAACTGGTTTGTTACCTTGGGGTTAACAGTTAAAATTCTGCGGGTTTTTCTTATTTCCCAGGTTCGTGCTAAATGCCACCTCCTTTATCTTTCTAATAATGTTTGGTGAAAGCTAACGTCATGAATATCTCAAGTATTTTTCTGCACATTCATTTTGCTTGTATTTGTATCCAAGTATTGCCCTCAGCTCTTGCTCTCAAATTCTCAGTCCGTGTTTTTCATTACTCCATCAATCATATCAGCCTGAAGTTCATCTGAATAGTAGAGGTTGGCACAAATTCATGTAGAGTGTTAATAAAATGTACAATAAAGCAAGTTATAAATTTCTTTATTACTAACTGAATTTACAAAAATTCTTCGAAAAGAGATCATCCATGTTCAATCCATAACTCACAACGCTGTGATACCTTTCTACAAATTGACTGGCAAATTTAAATCTGAACATCCTCTTAATACGGGAGAATGTTTTAGGTTAAGTGACTTTTTTCCCAGTAACTATCTATAGCTCTACAGCCCTTATGGGGTCGTTTTCTCAGTTTCTTGATCTTCTGCACAGTCGATAGGACTCTTTGGGAGGGAGATCAGCGGCTACCTGCACACAGGACAGCACAAACACAGAATAAACGCACACATATATCCGTGCATAGTGTGGGATTCGAACCCACGATCCCAGTGTTCGAGCTGGCGAATACAGTTAATTCCTTAGACCGTGCGGCCACTGCGATCGACCTTTTTGGCCCACTATGTATTTAAATAAAACTCAGTGCCTATTTCGCAGAAAATGCACTGCGTCTCCATAACAAGGATCGGTTCGCGGAAAGAATCGCTGTTTATTCTGAGAAACATACGAAACACGTAACTAAAGTATGCGGACAATATTACGACCTTTTCGTTTTTAAAGTGATTAACGACAGTGTGTTAATGGGTTAAATTATCAAGGCAAACACTCAAACATTGAAGCCACGGAGTTACTTAGCGTGAAGACACGAAACGTGTTTTTCGAAAGGGAGCTTTAGTTTCTCTTTGAAGGCCATTACTCACAATTCATTTTATGAATGAAATGATCAGTCGTGTTGTAACACGCTGTATATAACTGTGTAGCGTACGTGACCAGTCTGTTACGTCATTTAGGAGAGTAGACGAAGATCTCATCACCGGGAAGAATTCTAGGAACGTCACTATCATAACAAGGCTGAACTGTGTCTCTCTTACAAGTAGTTTCCCATAAACAGACATGTTTTGAAAAATGCAGGTATTTTAACAGTTCACTTTTTGACTCAGCGTCAGAGCAAGGAATATACTCACGGACGCATCTGCAAATTTACCACAGGGTTACTATTTTTCGTTCGTATATAACATAAGCACTATATGGACTTTTATGATAAAAGAAAATTCTGATTTCCCATTGGATAACATTACTCTCCACACCGGCACCCAAAATATCATTAACTTTGTATAGCGGAGTGCTTATTGAAGAGCTAATATTTGCTTGGCTAATCAGGAAATTCCAAGAATTTCATAGGACTCCAAGGTTCAGAACAGGGAAACATTTGTCCCTATCTTGAATCCAGCACATAACCACTCTCCCATTTTACTTATTTAAGGTCCATTTTAATATTATACTATCATATACGCCTAAATATTCCAGTCAGAAGATGGAGACAATAGGTACCACCTAAACTTTGGTACTTATTTACCAAACTACACGACGTCACATTCCAAAAAATAGTGATCTTCATTGTTACTAGCGTAACAACGTCAAATTTCTGATGAAGATTTTTGTCGCGTTCTATTCGAGTAATTTAAACTACGTTTTTATGGCATGGCTTTGTTCTGAAAACGTATAAGCGATTTTATATACTATTTACCTCTCTTTTAATGGCCCAGGTCTTGACAACCGCTTAGTTGCATTCCTTCTGCATAAAATTACAATGAATCCAAACCACAATATGATAATCGTTCTTCGAACGATATTTCTTCTTCTTCTTGTCTTTGAGGTTACGTTTTACCAAGAACGCCATTGAACTCCATCTGAATTAGTTCTAGGAAGAAAATTTATTATAAACAGAGATAGGATAGACGATCACAATGGCCACTTGGTCTAAGGCATGAAATGTCTTCGCTCGCACGAACACTGAGGTCGTGGGCTCGAATCCTCTTGAAACATGATCTCTGTGTGTGTGTGTGCGTGTGTGCGTGCATTTATTCTTTTTTTTTGTGTTGTCTTCTGTGTAGGTAGCGGCCTTATGACGGGCTGCTCACTCGTCCAAGGAGTTCTACCGTCTGTGTAAAATACTCGTAGATTATGAAACTGAAGGAGACACCAGGGCCCAACAAAGGGCTGTAGAGCCATTGATGAATGAATAAATGAAAATGAATATGAATATCCTGATGCAGGACTAATGGCCATCTTCATGGTACATTTTACTTCTTCAAAAACTGATATTTTTGGGGTAAGAAATTCCCTGGTTTCATGGGACCAAAAGGTCAATTATCATATTAAAAAATCAAATTTTTAAATTAGCCTGGAGGTAGTATTTTCTTCCGAGACATTGGTATCGACCTACCGTACCGTAAGATGCCCACCGAGTAGACCACACTTTGACTCTTGATCACCGTGATAACTGCAAACGTCATAGACCCTTGAATAAATTATATAATTCTCCTCAGTCCATAGTTTTTTCTGTATTAGAAATGAGACATGACTTAGTATGTCTGATTTGTAGTTACTTTGAATAGAAGTGAAACCTAGTGGTTACACGCTTCTTTCTGAATAAAAAAGCCGTCTGTCTTCTGTAATATTTTGTCCTCGGCCTTGTCACGGCATTGATCTTGCAAATGAAACAGGTTTAGTCATTTACACTTCCTGGCAATGCAAAATAGAACAGAAACGAATCATCACTTAATGTTGAGTCATTTGTTCGAAGGCTTGCTTGGTGGCGCAAGTAACGGTGTTCAGCCGTGCGAGACGTACAGTGTCTTGCTGCTGAAGGTGACCACGAAGCGTGCAGAAAACAATGCTCGCCTATGCAGTCATGGGTGCTCTGCAACTCGATGCAAATTGCAGCATGGTCTAGAGGTAACGCTCTGGACTTGTGTTCCAGAGGTGCTTGCTTCGAATATGGGCCGGGACACCGGCTGTCGTGACTGAGATGTTTTTCTGATTTTCCTTTGTCCGTCTAGGAAAAATCTGGGATGGTAACTGGATTAGGTCACAACCACTTCATTTTCAGTTGACCATTTACCATTCTACCTTCCGACACTGCGTAGTCTCGATAAAAGTAGTGTGGTTAAATGGCCCAGAAATATAAAACGAAATTCTAGCACCTATTTAGGCTGATCATTTACCGTTTCCACGCAGTCTAAAGCCGCGTATGGCCTTTTTCAGATTCATATCGGATCCTGGGTTACGATTTATTGGAGCAAAATTTGTGATTTTTCACATCCTGTTTCTTTAAGATCCATATTTAATTATTCAGTCATTTACACCTAGCTCTCCCAAGTGGTTTATCCCGCAGGATTTCCGACCAGAATTTTGTATGTATTTCTTATATCTTCATAAGTGTTATATGTCGCACCCGCCTTGTTGTTCTGATTATGTTGTGTGAAGAATACAAATTATGAAGCTTCTCATCATGTAATTTTTTCTATTCTCTTATTACCCTTCTCTCTTGGGTCAAAATATTCCCTTCAACATCCTTAATTCGCTTAGGGCTCTAGACAAGGTTTCACGCTTGTTCTACACAAAAGATAAAATTATGGTTGTTTTCTTTTTAACTGGAATGTGTGTAGATAGGCGGCCAGAAGATAAGAAGAGTTTAAACCGAAACATTCACCGAATTTAATCTGCTGCCGCCTACTGCAATATATATATATATATATATTAACATGAAGACAAGACACATCTATGACCACAGTAACTAATAACGCATCTGGAAGGTCTGTAGTTCGTTGGACTCCCCTTTCACTCCATTGTACGATGACACTTAAGCCGAGGGTACCAAGTGGAAATCACGTAATATCAGTCAATTCGAATAAGAAAATTCTCACTACATTTGCTTGCTTTCATGGTCGTAGGTTAAGAGAGTCACGCAAGGCCTTCAGTAAAATGAAGCAGTGTACATCTTATGTGTCATGCAAATTTAGTACATCTCCGGATAAACAGATAATATCAGCACAGAGAGCCGCGATTTGTCATTTGAATAAGGGTATCGTTAATCAGCAGCCCACGGAATGTTATTCTCTGTGGAATGACAACTTGTCACTTCACTTCCTTGTGGTAGCCTTGAGGATGTTTTGGTTAGAAGGATGCGTCATGGCCACATCACCACAAATCCTACCTCATTTCCTTTTATTACTAATATCTGCGCTGTTTATGGCGACACAAATTTATCTTTTTATAGCTCCTTTATACCAGAAGTGTAGATGCTCTGACCTTATGCACCACAACATGAAGACAAACATTAATCGTGGGGCACACGAGTATGCTCAAGCATGGTATAACTTCAGCGTTAGATACAGATGAATGTTTCATGCTCCGGCCGCTTTGTAACTGAAGAAAGAACTACCGGAAAGTATGGGATAGGAGACCGGAAGTTCGACACATTCGGAATGGACGCGATGGCCAACAATAAATGTTGGTCTCAGCCGGGAATCGATCCCTAGTCTTCAAAGCCGTATCTAGGCACTATAGTTAATTAGCTCTGCTTGTCCTTCTTCCGTGCGGCAGAATATCGTATCTGCATATGTGTACTGTTTTCTGTTACCTTTATTTGTGTGAACGTGAAAGCTGTGTAATTGACACGCAGCTGCTGATTTAGGACATAAAGCGGAGTTAAATTATTACATATCCTTTGTATAATTATGTTGAAATCGTTTTATTTTTTCATTTTATATGCTTAAATACTTACTCGTATTTTTAATGTTTTCTAGTGTTTCCATGCCACAGATCATTTTGACGTGCATTATAAATTGAACATTATTATTATTATTATTATTATTATTATTATTATTATTATTATTATTATTACTGTCCACAACCGATATTTACATTAAGATCATATCAATTTTTTTTAACCTTTTCTGCGTCTTTTATGTGTTGCTATTGTTTTGTATTTGTAATGTCTCTGTAGTTGGACCCTAGCTATTGATTTGAGCATGTAAATAAATGAAGAATTATTATTGTTATTATTTTCGTAATTGGCCTTGTAGCCGTTGACTCGGCACATAAATAGTAAAGAATTTAAGTGAGTTATTCCTATTAAACTTGTTATAATATACTTTCTGTTCTTGTACAAGGAACTTGCAACTGAGATTTTGATGAGTGTTCGCAGCTGCCATTTTAGTTCTCACACCGTTCAGTTTGCGATGTAAGTACGTGTATGATGTTGCTAATGACCGCGCCATAGCTCAAGCGGTTAATCGCTGGCTTCCCACCGCGGCGGCCATGGTTCAATCCTGGGTCTGGTCAAGTGGGATTTGTGGTGAACAAAGTGGAGCTGGGGCGGGTTTTCCCCTGCCAATCTTCATTCCACCAAATTCTCCATCACCATAATCACCCGGGGCAAGCTACAATAGGCCAATCAGAGGCCGCCGTACCGAGTGGACCCAGTTGGACTCCACACCCCACTAAGCGATTGATGTTGCTAGTGGCAGCGTTTTTCAGCAACGTAACCGCAGCGGTTGATGAGAGACTGATGTGATAAATAACATATTATTGTAATATTGTTTTTATTAAAGTACAAACGTAATTTACAAAACAAATTATTTATTAGATCACAAATGTCATTAAACACACAGGAAATACATTTCAGAAGATTCTACTTTTCCACTGGAGATAATTTCACGGATTGCTTAGTCAAATATTTTGCACTCAGAATGCATACATTTGGAAAATTTTTGTAGGGTCTGTTGAGAATCCAAAGGAAATTCCCACCGTTAATCAGCTTCCGCGCTATTAACTGCTCTGCTTTCTCCCGCATTCCCTTCCAGTCCTAAATGTTATCTAATGATGGGTCGAGGCTGAATTTTAATACCATCTCCCACGAATAATGCTCGCAAGTTTTCAGTCGTAAACTGTCTCTTTTATATAGTATACTACACTTCATATGATAATATCGAAATATTAGCACTCACATAACAGACACAATACAGTGGAACAAAAGACACTTCTCTTATACATGACTTATTGCATAACTTTCTTTCAGGGATCATGTTAAGGCTTAACCAGAAATTGCTTCAAGCGTTTTTATTTCACCGCTAAATTCACTATATAAGAATAATACAGAGAGGGGGGTATGTGAGAGCTACTTGTGAAGTTACACATACTAAATTGGGTACTCCGTCGACAGAAATTCAAGTATTTAATCTGGTGCCTTATCATTAAGATTAGACAGCCTGTCTCTTATAAATGAATTTACGATTCCTTATCTAGTATACTTAAGCACTAATAGAAAACATTCTGTTTCATACAACGTAATTGCTTCTGGGGATGTAAGCATATGTGTCAATATATCAAGCAGTCTCCTTTCTATTCAGTGAACGGCAACACATAAGAGATTTTAAATCAAGGATTCCACTTGATAAGTTAGACGCTGAGATTATAATCTCCAAGCTTCACATTCAAATTAGTATAAATTGAATTAAATATGTCATGGACTGCATTAAGATGATAAGTATGGGGCTTGACTTTGTATAGAGATTTGATAAATATTTTCCCCCAAAATAGAGCAAATAATATATGCGAAACAAAAACATGACTGATTTCTAGAGAGAAGAACGTTTATACCTGTGTACATTGCGTTATAATTCTCATCAGTATTTAGATTAAAACTTATTATGAAATATGATTTCTCTTTTTATTTGAGGAAATATTTTAGATTTACAAAAACAGAATGAATTTCCTTCTTATCACTGTATCTGAATATATCCAAAGCTGAAATTCATGATTTTATTAAACATGCCTGTCCCACACAATATAACCATATTCTTCTCTAATATTCATTTTGAGTAGAATTTTAGTATTGGTTCATTATACTTACATCAATCTAACGTACTGAATGGAGAAGAAAATTATTCTGGTGGGGAGAACATGAATTATGATTCACTTCTAGTACATAAGTTTCGTATATTGAAACTGACGCCAAATTCACCGTGGAGCTTTCGCCTAAAATGTTGATTTCATAGGGAGACTATCTGATGTAGACACATTTTCATCACAGTTATCCCTTGGGAGCGGTGTTACTTCCTGCGGGATTGTTGCCATTTTTATTGCTGTAGTACGTGAAAGGTCCTGGATATCCTCCCAGAGGGTAACCTGAACCCAGTGACCACGGGTTGATTCGAGGATATGTTCCGGGGAACCCGCCAGGATAAATACCGGGATAGATTCCAGGGTAACCTCCTCCGGGGAACGAGCCAGGGTAGAGACCGGGATAGAGTCCAGGGTAACCTGCTCCTGGGAAGAATCGCATACCAACTTTTCCTTCGTTACTGTTCTCGTCGTTGGATTTCGGAGGAGCAGCAAGAACCAGAAGAATGCAGGTCGTGAGCACAGTAAGGGTCCATGCTGCTTTCTGAAATAAAACAGGTGTACACGTAATTACACGTTGTGACTGTCCAAACCTGCTACAGTTCTCCGTGGACGCTATGGTCCTCTTTAGTCATTTCGGAACCGTGACCGGTTTATTGGCGAGACCGATTTATTAGAGTGTTATGACTTGTTTTTTTTTTGTATCTGGACAGAAAACAACTGCCTTGTTTTTGTTTACTTGCAGTTTGGATGACCGGAAGGGGACAAGGTCACCACGGGAGACAAGTCTGTAGTTTGCCGAAGATGTGAATTTTGTTTGTTGACATGTGTAGCTGGCATAAAGTGTCTTCAGAAAGGTGTAGCTCGACCATGAACCAAAGAAAATAACCGCTCTCACACGTGGGGTTCCGAGTTCTATATCTTGGGAACTATTTTATTCTCAAAGGTCTTTATGTGTTTGACTTCTGCTGATTGCATGATGAATTTGGCCAGTTAAATCAGCCAATAGGAAATGAATTCATGTCTGGGAGAGAGGCCGTCGATTCAAATCCTTCTTAGGGGATGAAGCGATGCTCCCGCAGGATAGCAGTCTTCGAAAACTGGGTGTTTTGAATTGATCGGAGGCAGACTTCATTGGGCTGCGCTCCTATGTTTCTCTAAATTCATCGGTCCTTCACTTTGGATCATAAAAATTTGATGATAATAATAATAAAGTGTCATATTACTCCGTGCTTGCAAATGAAATTACAATATTTCGCTTCTGAATAAATAAACGGTTGGTGGACAGTGGAAGTTGTGTTGTTGACTTCAAGCAGTGGACTGGCTTCAAAGGTGCAGGTTCCGGTTGCCTCAGTTATTGCCGTTACACAACGCTGATAGGAGTCAAGTGGTCTACTGAAGCCAGCACATAAGTTCAAAGAACGAAAGGGGGGACGGTAACAACGTCCTCAATCTTACTGACTGGCATGCATATATAGTGACTGAGTCCATGATAAAGATTCCTTCAGCAGATGATACTTATTAAATTGTCAAGATAATCCATGTTATGTTCATATATTTGTAAATTATCTTTAGAGAACTAGGTTCACACGGAAAGGAATATGAAGAATAATGTCACGTGTAGCGTGACTATAGACGGGGTTTGGATTGGTGACTAGATTTATTGACTTACTCTTCGACCATGAAGATGGAGGAAGGGCGCTCCTCCGTAAAATAGGCAAACTGCTTATCAGACTGTTCTGCATGAAGACCCATAAGAGAGTGTTCTTCGTAAATTGCCTTGTTTCAGATAACCACAATTTGATGTTATGCGAACCGATTCACGTGTTCTAAACCTGTTTCCTTTAAATCAGTTTTAATATCTTTCCATCATATGTAATTCACTCCCAAGATCGTCTGTTTCCATAATACGACCAAGTAAGTCCTGGGATAATACTATAAAGTAGGCCACGCGTATCTTCCAATAATATTATTGCAAATTTATCATTCGCATTTTTCTGCCTACCGTATTCTACTTATGTACAATTGATGTATTTGGGAAGATGACTTGGTTTAAGCAACAATCGAAAACAAATTGTAGCATGTACTCTAATAATGGACTAACTGGGAGGAGGGGGAGCCCGATATTGCCGAATGTCCGTTAAATTCAAATTCCCGTAAAGCCGACCACAGTGCCCCCACGTTCTAAGGCAGTGTTTCTCAACAGCCGGTCCGCGACCCGGTACCGGGCCCTTTTCTTATAAAAACAACTGAATTTACCGAGCTGCGGTCCCACAAAAGTTGAGAACCACTTGTCTAAGACTTGAACTGTCTTCGCTCGCTTGTACGCTTAGATCGTGGGTTCGAATCCCATTCAAGATATGGATGTCTGTTAGTTTATTCTAAGTTTTTGTTGTCCTGTGTGTAGGTAGCGGCCTTGCGATTGGCTGATCATTCGTCCAAGGAGTCCTAGCATCTGGTAAAAAATATTACGAAACTGAAGAAGAGGCCAGGGCCCAACAAGGGCTGTATAGTCATGTATGAATGAATGAATGAAACTGAAACTCCGTTAAATAGCAAGTGATATATTTTGAAGCACAACGCAACCCGTATTTACGTGAAAAACGTAAAATTTCGCTATTACATATCATGCTTTAGAGAATATTAATGAACAGTAATAAATTACTCTGCGCTCTCTATTAACAACAAAAAGTGAACATTTTGTAGTCTCTTCAGAAGAGAAAGCACGTTGTTCCTCTCGCCGGTCTGCTGTCAGTCCAGGCGAGAGACCGACGCCATTTACTGAGGAGATGCTCCTTTCAAGAGACGCAGCTAATCGGCTTCAAGTAAGCATTCGATTTCAGTTGTGTTCTGGAAGTTTGGTGCTTAAGAATAATAATCTTTTCTGAAAGCTCAGAAGTGAGAGTAATACAGCTGAACTTCCGGTTCAAATGACGAGTCGATAAAGATGATCAAGTCGTCGAGATGATACTTTAATTCAAAGACCATGATTCTGCAAATCGGTGGTCTTCCTGCATCGTCGTCATCGCTTTCTTGGTCTGTTTTATCGCGAGCCATAACACTCAGGTTTGTCTTTATTCCTCTTCTTGTCCATAGTGAATTAGTAAAAAGAAAAAAGTACCGTATTTACGCATGTATAGGCCGCGTGCGTGTATAGGCCGCAGCACAATTTTCAGACAGAAATTATAGAAAAAATAATTTCCTCGATCTTTGAACACCCTGTATTACTAATTATGAATATATATTTTTTTTAAATGAAGTGTGATTTCGAATATTTCGAATATAAGCCGCACCCCAGTTTTCCTCTTGAATTTTTGGCAAAAAAATGTGCGACCTATACATGCGTAAATGCGGTATTGCAACACAGAGCAAACCAAACAGCACCACAGAAATTTTTTATTTGAGACAGAAACATCTATGTACATGATGCACTTTAAATTCGCAGCACGACTGACGAGATGTCAACCTTTTTATATTTCGTGGGGTGGGGTGAGACAGATCCCACTTGATACGTCGGCCAGTAATTGGCCTATTGTACCATCCCCCAATGATAAATGTTTATGGAACATTTGGTGGCATAAGAATAGGCAGGGGAAACGGAAGTACTCGGAGGAAACCTGCTCCCAGTGCCACTTTCTCCACCACAAATCCCACATGACCTGACCTGGGATCGAACCCGGGCCATTGCGGTGGGAAGCCAGCAACTTACCGCCTGAGGTATGGCACGGAAGTACATTTCAACCATACTATTACGGGGAAGTACCGACATATCAACCGGAGAGTAACGGAGAAGTACCGACATGTCAACCGTAGGGTAACGGGGAAGTATCGACATATCAACCGGAGGGTAACGGGGAAGTACCGACATGTCAACCGTAGGGTAACGGGGAAGTATCGACATATCAACCGGAGGGTAACGGGGAAGTACCGACATGTCAACCGGAGAGTAACGGGGAAGTACCGACATGTCAACCGGAGAGTAACGGGAGAGTGCCGAAGAATTTTGTTCGTTAAATCCAAAATCCGTTAAATCGGAGTCCGATAATATTGCTGTAATATTCAGATTACACTTCTATTTTACGGAACTGTGAATGTATCTCCATTAAAGATGTTTAAGGCATTCTAACGACATAATGATGGTGAGATTTGAGGTTTTCATCAGCTGTGAAAATTAATTTTAATGTCTCCCATGTTTTTTTGAATGATTTTCAACGTTTTGGAGTAAACTGCTGCCTCTATCTTGAGGGTACGTATGGAGACAGCGGATTTCCCCGAGATGTTGCTAAACCCCTACATATCTAAGTACACGGTGATGTAACTCAGCAGACGACAGCCTTAAGTAACGTATGTTGTAATCGAAGGCCTTCTTGTAAATTTACTGACTGTTTTCTTTGACCGCAATAAATCTCGATAAATTCTGAAGGCCAGATACATTTCTTAACCGTTCTTAAGTTGCCGTCCGGACGGCAGTTGAACGCCAGTATTCTGGTGAACTGCACTATCTGAAATCAATTTAATCTACTGTAATCTGATGTGAAAATCCTGGTATTTTTTAAATTTTTCAGTGGGATATGTTTGCGTTATGTTACCTCCGGAGATAAGGAGTAACTCTATCGATTGTGACCAACTAAGTAGGCTGCTTACATGAAGAAGGAGGCAGAATCCAATTCCGAAACGTTGTTTTGAAATATAAACAGGACGATGGATAATGTCCAGAAACACTATAATTATATTAATGTACCATCGTCACAGACTTTTTGGCCTGATGTTTGTGAGTCCCATCTGCCGAAATCCTCTACTGCCAGGGACTTATCTTGAGGTTCGCCCCTGATCGCGGTGGGTGGACAGATAAAGCTTCCCTAGTGTTGCTGCATTGTAATTTTGAACTTTTGTTGCTCTTTCGTATAGTTGATGTTGCTCCGCCGTGTAAGGTAACAGTGTATAGAGAGAAAGAATAAAATTATTTTCTAAAACATTAATAATTAAGCAAATATTTAAATTTGTTTTAAATATCAAACGCAATATAAGGCCGAGAAATTTGTTCAAGCAAACAAACAGTTATTAGAAATAAATTCTCTATTTGAGTTGAAAGAATTGACTAAATACCGGCACATAGTCACATTTTGAGATTTTACTCATAGTAGGACGTGTGTTTGGAAACCTACAGAACTCGCATTTCTTTTTATAAATATTTATAATGTAGCTCAATATATTGCACTTACCGAGTGTTGAACCATTGTTAGGGAGCTGAATGCCAGGGGACTGTTCTCCTTCTGTTTACAACTGCGGACAGCAAGTGATTCATGTTGTTCTCCTAAGCACTTCCTTTATATGTTCACCTACGCAAGTTTAGCATGTATTGCGCACAGAGAGGTAACGCTATTGCTGCGGAAGTTTGCGACACATGTGTAAGGAAACTGGCTAACTTTAAACACATTCAAACTACGCTTCTTTTTATCACGGAGTTTTGCCCTGTTCCGGGCACCGGAAGTACCGAATGTGACTAATTGATACCGACGGTAAGAGCCCTATGTTCAACAGTAAGTCCAAGGCAGATAACATGGTGATGCACTCGGCGAAATGGTAATTATTTGAGGTATAATTTTATGCGTGGTACTTCCCGATGTTACGAGTCTTTTAATTCACTCACCGACCGTAATAAGTAATGCAGAATTCTTTGCATGACTCAGTGTGAGCTTTATCCGATCCTTCCTATTGAATGCCATTTGTGGTCAAAGGTGATTGCTTGCGGTCACATTAATGTTTCCATTTTCTCATTGTTTCACTTTAAATACTTAAAAACCAGGCAGCCATATTATTAGTAAATTAATAGCCTAATTATGCAATCATTAAAATAAATAATGAACGATTTAATAAAAACTAACTAATTACTAATCCAGCAATATACACGTAAATAATTTATTAACTGGCTGAAGAGCGAAGTAATTTCTTTATCTAATTATTCTATCAACTCGGAAGGGCCGTGTCATAGCTGAGGCAGTTAGTCGCTGACTTCTTATCATGATATCTCGAGTTCAGTCTTGAAGTACATAGATTTTTCCCTGTCAATTATCACTGCACAAGTTCTCCACACTTAGCTGGTATAGAGGCCCATATAAGACCGGAGTAACAACAGACACTATGTATTGTAGCATATAAGTGTACGTACTTTACGTCTAAACAACTTATGTGATGGTGGTTTCCCATTTGTAGTGATGTTTGCCCTCTGAAGATGGTCCATAGAGACCGAAACATGTAAGGGTGTTAAGTTTTCATGTAGTAAAAAACTTACAGGTCACATTGGACGGAGTTATTTATATTTGTAACAGACACAATATCACCCAACTGCTACGTTTAAGAAACGTAATTTATTAACTTAACAAACAGTTAAGTAACTTACTGACTTAACCGAACAAAATTTACTATCTTAACTAGTCCGATAAACTAATTGCCGAATAAACGAACAAATAAGTTGTTACTGACGTAAGTAACGGGGCTTCCTACACTGACTCAGCTTATTCCGAAGCATTTGCTCTGCTTTCAGTTATGCTAGTTCATGTACACAAACTTGTTTCCATAATGATCAGTTTACTGTTTGCCACTTTTAAGTTTAAACACCCTAAGTTGTCTTATTTCCTTGACATGTCACAGAATAACGCTATTAATGTGTTTGAAAATAAAGAGTTAAAAGATAGTTGCAAAATATAACGAAGATAAATATCATTTTCCTGTTTCGTGCTGTTAGGATTATAAACCAGCGGGAAGTGAGCGCAGAAGTTGGAACTTAGGGAGATAGGTTACGCGGAAAGGAAGTGGAAGGAACTGACCTCGTACTGTTTCCAGTCGCCGGCTTATATATTAATTTATTATATTATGTTCATTGCCTAAACATATCGTCTCAGTATTGCAGCACTGTAGCAGCACTTCAGGGCAAAATTAAGATAGACCGCGCCATAGCTCAAGCGGTTAGTCGCTGGCTTCCCACCGCGGCGGCCCGGGTTCGATCCCAGGTCTGGTCAAGTGGGATTTGTGATGAACAAAGTGGCGCTGGGGCGGGTTTTCTCCGAGTAAGTCGGTTTCCCCTGCCAATCTTCATTCTACTAAATTCTCCGTCATCATAATCACCCGGGGCAGGCTACACTAGGCCAATCAGTGGCCGCCGTGCCGAGTGGACCCAGTTGGACTCCACCCCCCACTAAGTGAATTAAAAAAATTAAGATAATGTACTTTTCCCATTCTTCGTATTTTGTTATACTAGTGCCTCACATTTCCATAGTTTTGCATCACCTGCAAGTATGATGTTTCAGAATGTCCTTTTTTATGCATATCATTTAAACTGCAATTGATTCCCAAACTTCAAACTTTGGTTCCTGGAAAGTAATCGCGGTGGTTGACGATATGTCACCATAATTCGTTTAAAACGTGAAAATGAGAGAAGTTTTGATATTTAAGAAGTTCTATATTACACAACTAATACTTTTAGTTTTGGGACAAAGTGAATATATATACGTATAGAATAAGAAACTAATGGTGCTAAAATCTTTCTTCAGAGATGTTACCAACTTGTTGTGACATTCAGCTGAAAGAATTTTCAGTTGAATATCACAACAACAGGCAACTCTCTCCTTCCTATAAGTAGAGTGTCGTAACGTGAAACAGGTTTGACGGACGAGTAAGCTAGACTAACAGAGGGAATGATATCAGAGGACAGTGACATTGAAATTGACCGCCTGCTCACACCTTTACACACACTTACCGTTTCGTTGCTGTTCTTGCTTTGTTTCTGCTGGACGGTATACGTACATTGTTCTGATCGCTCAGAACAGGTCATCGAAGCTCCTGTCCTTTCATTTAATTTGAGATGAGCGTGCAACGTGTGTCAGTGAAACTGATTGAATTTACGATTAACTCGCTAGTACCAACATCATCATACCTGTTTCCGTTTTTGAATACAGGTGTTTGAAATCCAGGCTTTCTTTTTGGCATTTCTTTTATTGCTAGTGGGGTGGGACTAAGTCCCTTGCACTGCGGCCACTTCTGGCCTATTGTACCAGCCCCAGATGATAAGTAAGGGTGACTGTGGAGCAGTTGGTGGAAGGAAGATTGGCAGGGGAAACTGAAGTACTCGGACTAAACCTACCCCAGGGCTACTTTGTCCACCACAAATCCCACTTGACGAGACCCGAGATCGAACCCGGGCCGCCGCGATGGGAAGCCAGCGACTAACCTCTTGAGCTATGGCGCGGCCCTTTAACTGAGTTAGGGCATTGTCTCTTTAAAACATTTTCTGCTATCCTTCTATCGACTGTATATCATTTAATGAAATGGCTGTAAATTTTAGTTTGGTATAGTCAATAAATGAGCAGCCTTGCCTACATTATTTATCATAAAATTTAATCATAATCTGGCAAATTCTTCGGGATAGAAAAGACGCGCTATTACACAATCAACGAAACGAAACCGAAATAGGATAATGTGCCTTACGGGATTTCCGTTTCACTAAGTGCTTAACCATGTTGGCTGCTACGATCTGCCTGTTGCGCGAGTAGGTGAGCGCATGCGCAATAACGAATAATCGGACTCGCTCTTTCCGTATCTTGTACTAAGGAAACAGTTGACAATCGTCACGGCAGCAAGAAAAACAATTCGTATACATTGATAAATAATTTGCAAATTAGTCACAGTTTGTCATGAAACTCTGCAAAAATCAGAAATCTGGAAGCAGTTGGGCTGTACAGAGGTATTTCTTGTATTGTCACGTGTTTCAGTGACTAAGACGCGGTTTTGGATTGGTGACTCGGTTTATTGGATCTTCATCAGTCGTAACTACAATTAGATCTTACACTTTCAAGACTACTGTAACTATAGGACGTGTAATGTCACACACTAAGTCTTCTGAGTCTTCTTCTGGTCACACTGCGGTTCCCTTGGAACTTCGGAACTCAAGTGAAGTCAATTCCCATTACCGTATTAAAAGCATCACAAGAAATGTAATTATTTACATTGAATTTCGTTAAAGGTTAACCATATTTCAATTGAAGGTTAAAGTTACCTTAATGAGATGTAAATACTTTTATGTGCTTTTTTAATATAAAGATATTTTCTCAGTTAAATTTCGTACATCGTACAATGAACTCATAAGCTTGAGTTTCATTGTGTTATTTATTACTTTTATATTTATTTATTTATTAATGTATTCCGATATTTTTACACACGAAACTGAACTTCATGGAAGTTTTCAAACGACAAAGTTAAGTATTGGATTACGCTTTTTATTAAGTATTCACAATACATGTTCGTTTCGTGATTCGTAATGCGTTACTGAAATCGATCTCATCATCCGAATTGAGGTTTTCCGTGACCGTATCCGTGGTGGCCATATCCATGTCCATGGTGACCATATCCGTGGTGACCATATCCTCCTCCATAATGAGGTCTGCCATATACAGAACGGCCCTGTAATCCTTCGTAACTGTAGCGTTTCTCACGAACCTCGTCTGCGAACGCAAGCACTGCCATCAGCAAAACTGAAACCTAGCGGGATACACAAGCACGTTAGAAATAATGCACCTTCCTGGTATGTGAATACCGCTCATGTTTTATTTAGTTGTTCAAAATTAGCTTTTTTAATAATTATACATTTCTCAAGCAACCAGCGTCTTAGATTTAATGAGAGCAAACTGCTGGAGAATATATTTCGACCTAAAAAGGATCAAGTTAGTAATTAATTAGTAATTAATGTGATTGAAATATTTTATTCTGAAATACTGTTGCAGGTCATAAAATATACTTCATAAGATCTTCGTTTGCTTGCTGATTCACTCACTGGTTTACTTTCTTGGAAGTTCAGATATGAAAAATTATAACTCAGTCCCGTTCTCATAATCCTGTTATTTGTCGTGTCTGCAAATGTGGCTGTGAAGAGCAACTACGACGGTGAAATTTTATGGAGTCTTGCTTCTAAGTATAATGTGCTATTATTTACTGCTCACCAGTAGGAATATCTTCATGGCTGTGGCCGGTACAGTTTCACGTCAATCTCTGGCTCCCGTTTGTGTCAGACTCGGGAGGTTTCATTCTATTTATACAGACGACGCTGAATGTTTACAGATGACTATCTTATGTGTCACAAGTCTCGAGCTTCAAAACAGCCACTCCGTAAAAATATCAGAAATCCATTAGGCTTTATGTTACGCGATGAAGGAATGTGCATTTCGGTATAGTAATTGGGGATTCTGTATGATTAGATTTTAAATGCTGTGCTTCTACGTAATATTTAACATATAACATTGTCTTTATAAAGTGAACCAAATACAAATAAACATGCGATATATTGCATTCTCATTTCTAAGTAGGTGCGACTAGAAACATGATTTTTAGGTGATACAGTTATTTTATTAATTATAATGATCAAGTCAAGGGGAATGAGGTGGGCAGGGCATGTAGCATGAATGGAGGAGGAGAGGAATGCATATAGAATATTGGTGGGAAAGCCAGAAGGAAAGAGACCACTAGGAAAACCAAGGCGTAAGGGGGTGGACAATGTTAAAATGGATCTTGAAGAGATAGGATGGGATGGTATGGATTGGACTGATCTGGATCAGGATAGGGACCTGTGGAGGGCTCTTGTGAACACGGTAATGAACCTTCGGGTTCCATAAAATGCTGGGAAATTCTTGAGTAGCTGTAGATTTGGCTTCTCCTCAAGAAGGGCTCATCTCCATAAGCAAGTAAGTTATTTTACAATATAAGGAGTCGGAAGAAAGGCGAGTCGGCATATCGACGGGCTGGACGGTCTGGATTCGATTCTTGGCAGTGCGATATTTTTCTTCCCCTACAACGTCCAGACCGGCTCTGGAGCCCACCCAGCCTTGTACTCAATGGGTACCGGGCGTAAAGTGGCAGGGGCATGAAGCTAACCACTCACCTCCATATAGCGCCGAGGTCAAGAATGGTGGAGCTTTACCTCCACTCCTTCATATGTATTCATGGCATCTGTAATCTATCTGTAGTAACTTAATTAAAATGGTTGACTTTAAAAGAATAATTCCACATAAATAACCGATGTATTGAAATATTTTCATCTTAGTGCGGCACGAATCTAGGATATAAATAGCCCAGCATGGTCTGAAATGAAATCGAAATCCATGTACTGGAATATGCTGATATAGCGATGACAATGCGTTTCCGGCTGTCGCATGACATACATCTTGTCTGCTCTCGATAAGCTATCAGCTTGTATATGTCTAACGACGGTTTAACGACGTCTTCTTGCAGACATTAATAAATCCCGTGAATCCCCGATCTCCTTGCGTCATTCTCTACTTGCAAAGAATTTCTAAGCACCCCCGTCAAAACAATATACTCGGTCTATTACGGTGAGCTGATAATAGGCCAAATCCCCAGTGAAGTGTATAAATTCAGTTCGCAGGTTTCTTATTGTAACATGGCCGGATAGCGCAATCTGGGATCTCTTTCTCCTCATTTTGCCATTCATAGCTCTCCTAACGTCCTGCGTCATTTTCGTAGTCTCGAAACAGAAACCTGTATTATGGAAACAGGCCAGTCGCTGTACCATGCTGTTTTATTCACGCTGAGAAAACAAAGCGAAGGGCGACGGTGTGCATTTGAATATGAGGCAACGGTTTACACTCCTCTGATTTTTTATTGTTTTCGTATGAAGTCGAAGAAGTGTCTTGTGTGAATACCAAAGTTTCAAGTCTCGCAAGGAGAAAGTTCTCAGACTTTTCCAATATAATATAGCTCTGATTCCTCTTTTCCTAGTAATGAGAAATTACTTCCCCTTTACTACAGCATTATGTAAATATGCGTATTAACATCGCACACTGAATTACCACGCCATTGTCTGTAGTTACAGAAACTGTTTTGTGGAACCTGATTCTACCTGCACGTCCTTAGACGTAGAAAAGCGAAGGAAAATTACTCAGCTTGGGAGTTACGTTTAGCAAGCAGAATGTGATAACAAATGATAGCATGTGTTGCTGAGTCACGTGTAATTTGTGCAGAGAGTAATTCAGAAAGCAGAGGAAGTTCGATTTGAAAATCTCACACCGAGGACTGTGAAGGGATAGGTCTGACGTTTCGGAACAACATTCCGCCTCCAATCTTCAAGGTCGAAACTGCCGTATATCAGACTTCATTTTCCATTCTAATTTTGCTCTTCTTACCGCCTGGTTGTTGCTGATTTCTTGCGTTGCTCATTTGATTCTGAAAATGGAGGCGATGTATTCCTCCGAAAGGCCGGACTTCATCCGAACTACGCGGCGTTGCGACCTAGAAAACTTTACTCCTACACGTACTTTCGATATCTGCAATGTTTATATTTTCATAAAATGTAAAATGTCAATATATTTCTCTGAAATATTTTGCATTTATCGAGTTTCGGTAAACAGAAATTTTCCTGCCATTGATTGTAAATCTTATGTATGACGGTTATTAGAAATTGTGTTCCTTGTGACATGGCCATCTCATGACCACAGATAGACGCACAGTAAATGGGTGGCAGGCTAATTTTGTTACAGATTAGTGGAAGTTTTACTGGTCCTCCACGATCAATCTAACACTGACCTCTTCTGTTTAGTAACGCCGTCATGTGATACTCGAAATAAAGATATTGTGACATGACGCATGAAAGCCGGAATAGCGGAGCCAGGGTAGACGTTCATTGTTAAGGAACGACTCGATAAACATGTTCCCTCGGCAACGAATACTCAAGCAACAATTGAGGTATTTTGAGGCTATAACGATGGAAATGGTGTTTTCTGTTTCGTCCTTACCGAGGATATATATCAAGTATTCCAGGCCAATTAAGGAAATAATTGAAAGGGGTCTTTTGAGACGGCAGTCGAGAGGATTGAGAAGAGAAGGAAACGAGTTCGTTGGGTTGCAAGAGTGTGGCTATGAAAAGAAGACTTCATATGGTATAATTACCTTGTTGAAATCCATTACCAGGATGCGACTAGTGAAAACTGAGAACCCTAGCATGTGTGTAACAGTGAAATGTATAGTGTGTGGCTCTGCGATATCGCTATATTACTTGTAGTTACGAGTTGATTGTGTAAGTGCGACAAATACGATCAACCAATCTAAACCCCGTCTAATAGTCGTACACACCCATACAAGTGGAAATATGAATGTTCTCTCTTGTTTAAAACGTATGATTGGATGATTGCGAAGTAATCAACAAATCCTAGAAGAAGAACCGTTAGCAGTACCCACCCATTTGCTTCGCTTACGCGATAGAGAACAACATCCATTTCTTTTTCGTAGTTTGTAGTCACTGCACTTCGCCCCAAATGTGTATATGTGGCTTTTCCGCTTACCGTGTCATCTACAAACCACTTCCAATGCTTGTTCTCTGTGCCTTCAGTATTTCCTTCTCCTGAGTCGTGTAAAAAGAGATATTTTCGCGTTTATAATTCATTTGATTCTGTGGTGGTCCGTGCAGCCTCTAGATAACGTGTTCATACTTTCATAAGCTAGGCTTTGGTAACTGAGTCATATAACAGTTACATTAGATATTAGTAAGATTCATATCCACCAGTCAAACCCAGCATTTCATTTGTGTCAAAGCGAAACTAATGTAGTAATATCATTTTGTACCTGTAGAAAACATAAAAAGGTTATTCCTCAGTAAGATATACAAAGGTATATAAGGTATGCCATCTACACAACAATATTCTCTATTTAAAAACAAAGAAGACACTACTGTATCAACATTTGCTTTTATTCTGCTTCTACAGACGCGTCTATAAAAGCATAATAAAAGCAAATGTCGATCCACTAGTGTCTTCTTTGTTTTAAATACAGAATATTGTTGTGTAAACTGCATACTCTGTATATCTTATTTATGACACACAACAGGTTGCACACTATGAAGGTTATTCCTCAGTGTTATCAGAATCACCCTGTATTTCTACACAAATATGACCTGCCACATTTTGCTCAATACTTGTGAAACCTGTCCAACTACCAGTAGACAAGGCCCGTGCGTGTAATGATAAGATTGTTACCACAGGGACTGTCAGTAGTGACTTGAATTTGAAGACAGAAGGAAGGAGTTTCATTTACGTAAATTGTATACAGTGAAGAAAAACAGAATCTCCCAAATGGATAAACATTCAGTAAGTATAAAATTGAAAAGTGTGCAAGAATATGCTGCCGGAGTCCGGGTTCAAATAACATGGAAACAGCATGAATTATTATCCGGAGTAAACCGGTATTGCTCATTTAATTTACGCTTATTTGCTTATTCCAACCTGTTGCATCACTTATCATATCCATTCAAAAATATAACAAGATCTCATCTTTCAAAATTATATTCGTATATATTATCAGAAATTTCAGCTTTTGAATCGAAGTCTCATCGCTCTGTTATTATTATTGTTATCTAGCAAGTTGTCTCAAGCGCAGTACTTCTGATTTTTGTTCGGTAGGTTCTCTGTATATCCCGTCTTAGATTCTTCGTCGTTTATCTCAGTCCCTCTAAGAACAACTATCTTCCAACGCCGTATGGCCCGAAGGTTGACAGTGTCGTTAAGCAATCTGCAAGTACGGAAATACAAATTGTTGATGCTGTTGATGATAGTGCATTTCCATTAGCTTCATGAAAATTTATAGGATCAGTGGAGGGCCGACTTTATCCTGCAGGGTCCTCCTCGGGAAACTTAAAATTACTCACCAAGCTCGGAGATTTCATGCTATTAAGGAAACTGAAAGTTTAATACCATGTTGAAAACATGCCACTATTGAAGACTATCTTACGCCAAGTAACTCAGTCTTCATTCTTACATCTCTGTCTATTCCCTCGAAGTTTCCGAAGACAACTGCCAACTTTTTCGTTTCCACCATTCGTGCTATAGTTCGCTTCTCTTTCCTGCCCCTCTGTTTCGTCACTCTAACAAAATTCGGTGAAGAGCATGAATAGAAACCCCTCGTTATACAGTTTCTTGCGTCCTCTGTGTTGGGCCTAAATGTTCTCAGTGTTTTATTTTCATTTCAGAGAGCCCTTGTCGTCGTTCTGTGTATAGCCATTTCCTCCACAATGATGGCTGTTGTCTCTTCTCAAAACACGCCACCTGCTGCTCAAAAGGACAAAGTGGGTATGCGTTTCTTCCCAGGTTCTTATCCCGGGGTCTATATGGGATCATACCCCAGCCCATATCCCGGAGGATACTTTGCGGGAGTCCCTGCACAACCTTATCCCAGAATCGTGGGTCATCCGCTGGGCTACCCCATGGGAGGATATCCTGTTGGACCAGGATTCCCTGTGGGAGGCTATCCTGTTGGGCCAGGATTACCTGTGGGAGGCTATCCTGTTGGGCCAGGACCAGTATACCCAGGAATTCCCATGTTTTATAATAACGGGAATACCGGTGGAAGATAATGAAACGTGTGTGTGTCTGCATCTTATACGATCACTTCCATTCATTACTAAAAATATGTAAAAAGTACAAATATAAATACCGGTAACTGTGTCAAAAAATTCAGATGTGTTCTGTGTGTGTTATTTACAAGTACTTCATTATTGGATTGATAAGAAAAATTTACTATCAACTGGTGGACGGTTACGATAGTCTCCGGAGCCAACAGTGTCAAGGTCGGGAACCACTGCTGGATTCTGAACTCCGCCGCCCATTCCTGATAAACATTTGTCGGTAGGCAAAGAAAGAACTCCCACTGTGGTCTGCGGTCAGATTTATATTACGTATTCATTCTATCATACACCTCATTCTGCTGCCGCGTCTCGTTATCTCTGAAGTGCAACAGATGGTTCGTATTGGGTGGAACTCTATGGACTTGTCTAATATAGAACAGGTATAAGAATCATTTCAAAACAGTACTGTAATTTCACTTCTACGTTATCGCACACGTTTGCCCTTTAGAAGCACGAATGTGTGAGAGAAACTGTGGAGGTCGGGAACCATAACCTGGTCCATAACCTGGTATGTCTGTTTCAAGCATGCAATGTATCCGGTGCCCAAGAGGTGCTCACTAGTCTAGCTGTTCATGGAAAAAAAATTATTAATTTGCGGCACGATTGTTAAAATGTATTTAATAATTCAGTTTATACTTCACAAGAAAAGCACATTGCCATCATTATAAAGATTGATTAATTATGTGCTGGGAATTGATGACTGTTTCTTCTGAGAATCATGCAGAACACATAGAGTCTTGGGCAAAACGCAGGCATTTTTGATGACAAGAAAAATTATTTTAAAACAGCCATTATGATTTGAATTGATTAACTCCAGGAATACACGTGAAATATTTATATGAATGGAAGTTTTTATGAGTTAAGGCGCTGTTGCTCTGTTGCCTGTATTTCTAATATGATATGAACATCTTTATCATTGAAATAGAAATAATTGTATTGGGGTGAATTTTTAATCTTAATCTTACATATTAACTAAAACATTGTTGCTTTCAAGTTATTTTAATTCACAATTATGTATAGATGCAACAGTTAATGTAAAATTAATTCCTGTCAATTTTTCTTATATGCTTTTGTGAATAATTGAAATCATTCTGTTTTATGTTTATGTTTGTACGTCTATGTTTATCCTTACACTACTTTAATACATATTGGTATAACATTAATGGTTCGGCTTTCTGTAAGATATATGTTCACTTCTCACTGCAATTTCGTTGGGGCTGAAATATTTAATTAATAATGAAAAAATCTTATTTTTCAAACTGTTAAACAAAAACTTAGTACTTCATAGTATTAAGGTATAAATTATATTCGCATTTTAATAAACAAAAGATCAGTGTTGTGTTTTGTACTTTTATATCTAGCTTTCGCCTGTAAGCCTGTACCTATGTAGCATAAAAAATAGAGAATGTTACGAAATGCATATTCGTCTATTATGTAGTGTCTTCTTGATTTGGGTAAAACACTGTTGTACCCATTGTATTTCTAAGGCGCACCCTATGGTGGTATAGAAATTTCGTTTATTAATCTTCCGCGATAGAATTTTGAACTGGTGTCCCTCAGCCATTAAACTCTGAGTGGAAGTTCTAAACATTTAGACTCAAGTGTTCTAACTATATCACACTTGCAGTTCACTTCTTTGACCCAAAGTTTCAGAGGAACAAAACGCATCCATCATTCAAAATCATCATCATTGGCTCGTCTGTCCTCTGTGAATCCTAGTCCTCTTCAGAGTCTCCAGCCAGTCTTCTCCAGGCACAGCCACATTCCTCCAATTCCTCACTCCTAGGGCCCTGATACCCTGGATCACACTATTCTCCCATCCCAGTTTGGGCCTTCCAATTTTCCTAGTCCCTTCAGGTCTGGTATCAAGCACTTTCTTGACTGTCCTACCACTTTCCACAAGTATAATATATCCAGCCCAGCTTAATCTATATATTTTTATATATTTAGTAATGTCTGACTCATTAACTAGCTACGCTACCGCGTGTATACAGACACATATTAAATTCTGGCAGACATGGGACTATATCCTCTGATACAGAATAATGTAAAAGCCCTCGGCGAAGAACTTTATTACTTCTGAGATGCGAGACCGTTTTGTCTGTTAGTTTGGTAGCGCCGTTTCGGATACCATCTTCCGTACATCCGCACCAATTTTCCCGCGAGACTTTCTATTCTACCCTGAGATTACACGGCATCATATCCCACGGAACCGAAATGCTGATATATCGCCTTAAGAATTTCAGTTCATATGTTATCCTGAAGTTACTTAGACTCATACAATGCTGTTTGTGTGGGTGCTAATCGTATTGGTATCTCAGAAAGTTTCCTCAGATATTTTCGAATTTGGCAAAGTTGGCCACGTTTTTAGTTTTAATTCGTACACGGAAAGAAACTGCACTGCAATCCTGAAAAATTAAGTTTGCTGCCCGCCTACATTATTGAAGAGCAGATTATGTGCACAACACATATGCCGGAGAAGTTGCCGCTCATGCACGGCGAACTATATCCTGTGTCATTATTAATGTCTTCGTAAGTTAATATCTAACTGCTTATTTAGTTAATTTTGCACTATCTACTCTAAATATGTATAGTAAGTTCCTTCCAATTATCACTGATGAGAACTTCACTTTAAGAAATATAATGATGTCTCATTTACGTGCCTCTATTACTTATAAAGGCATTGGCGATATTTTCTCTTGATACGAGCAGGTTAAGTTCCCTGTATAAGATATAAAACATACAAGAATATACCGTCTACACAACAACACTCTGTATTTCAGAACAAAGAAGACACTACTATATCAACACCTGTATTATTAAAGCTTTTATGGACGTGACATATTTCGGCCCCTATATCAGACTAATATTTACCTATACAGACTTCCCCCCTCGTCTCCACCTTATCGTGGTGAGGGGGTTTCAGTATGCCAAGGACCCTGAGAGCTATACCAGCGGTAGCGTAGCTACTGGCAGGGCCTCCCTTGCTGGACAGGTCAAAAGGTAGGCATCAGACGAAGAGAGACACCAAAAACCATAGACTGATGCCGGAAGCAGCGTCATCAACAGCGACTTGAAGCACAGAGCAAATGATGCTCGAGATGGTTCAAGTTCGTATAGCAACAGGCGTGACCAGAGTGGTTTGAACGGCTGTTGTACTGCGATGTGAAAGCAAATGGAAAAATTACCATATTATCACTTTTCCTGGATAGTCTTTTTCCAAAAACAGAGATACCATGTATGCGAGATGTTTCCTCTGGAGACAAAACAAAATGGAGGGGCGGATAGAAGTGCCCAGAAGACGAAGTAGAAAACGTAAGAAGATGCTGGATGACCTTGGGGACAGAAGAGGATATTTTTATTTGAAGGAGAAAGCTTGAGATCGCATTAAGTGGAGGAATTGTTTTGGAAGAGACTGTGGACCTGTCGTCTGACAGATTACTGATGAATGAGCCAGGCCATCATCAGGCGTACAGTGTTCGGCTTTAAGCTGCTGAACTGCATGCAGTTATCGTTCAGTTGACTAAATAAAGATCCTTATTGTGTTTTCGGACTTAATTCAAATACATAAATATATATAAAATAAGTCTTGATCGAAATTTTAACTGAATGTACTTAAATGATATGAATTAAAATGATACCTAAAAGGTTTAAATTAAAAACATGATAAATTAAAACAAGATGCTGAAGGTTAAGGCGGTAAAAGTTAACAGTTAAAAATTGTGTATTGATGGTAGTTAGTATTCCATACTGTAGTACACAGAATCACCAATGGCGTTCTTTGAAGTTCGCTACGCCTATTTGCTTCAAGTTGTACTGGACTGCAGACAGAAGGACATATATACATGACTTCAAGTTTTTGAAAGATAAAGTAGCTTAAATCTGTTATTTTAGCTTCAAGAAAGTTTCTTCAATTTCTATGTTTATAATAATTTCTGTTAATTTCTGAAAATCTCTTGGTTCCTCCCAAGGTGCTTTTCAGTGACACATGGTCTTATTTCGGATGTAAATGTCCATAATTTCAGAAATTATTATGGCAGTGTAGAACAGAGTTAAATAAATTCTTCCCTGCAGCTACTGTTACTCGGATTAGAACGTCTGCTTTGCGCCTGCATGTTGTGGAACCCGTGCCAAGTATCTCCACCATATTTAAGTTCTACGTGTTCTTTACATTTAAAGAATTGTATGGAGGAGCCCCTGAATGAATGTTAAAAATTGAAGAAATTGATTAAGGTCCTTTTATTTGTGTGAGTAATATACGTGATTAAATACTGAATATAACTTTGCAGCATATTGGACGTGTTTATTACTTCGATCTTTTAGAAACAATACACAATAGGATATAGAACTTTGTGACGTTTGTACATTAATACAATTATTGTGTTTCTGTATATTTCAAATGTTTCTTTATTTAAAACCCACGACGTTTCGGAGGCAGGATTCTGAGTGAAGACGGAGACAGACTCAAGTCTCCGAAACGCTGTATGTTTTAAATAAGAGTAGGGGGAAAGACAATGTCCAGAAACATAATAACTGCAGTGAATTTCACCGTAGGCCATGTATGGCAATCAGAAGCGTCCTCTTGCCGCGTTTTGACATGCATATCATTGGTCATAAAGCTGCTATAATTGAAGACTAACGTCCATAGCCGTAGGGCCCATCCCTGTATTGGCCGTATCCTCCGTGACCGTAGCCTCCGTGACCGTAACCTCCGTGACGGTGCTCCTCAGGTTTATGTCCACACTTCTCTTTGGGCTTATGTTCCGGCTCCGCCTTCTGAGGTGGCTCTGGATCTGGCTTTTTAATCTCTTTATCCTTCTTCTTCTTTAGCTTTTCGAGAAGGTCGGCCTCCGTAAACTGTAGCTCTAGGGCTATCAGTAACACTAACACAAAAACAGCCTGCAAAAAATGTTGGAAAATGTCCTTGTTAAGTAATATATCGCAAGTTGCGTCATTGTAATTTCATACAGAAGTAGAAAAATGCCTGAGAATCTTGTAGCCAAACAAATAAATGGTTCGGTCCCCAAAACGAGAGATGCCTTGCCCAGCTCACAAAATTCGTTACTTCTGCTGTGGTACGCTTTGCCCTGCATGTTCGCAGACAAATATAACGATAAAAAAATGTAGAAGTTAGGTTGTTTGTTTTAACTTAGTAGTTATGCTGTGTAGTATGTAGTAGTGTATGCTCACTGCCGTGGTTATGAAGAGTTCTGTCTTGTGGAACATACGTCGTGTAGTCCGTTAAAGTCAACCAACGTTTCGGGAGAACATGTCGCCTCCATCTTCAGAGTCGAAGAGTAAACCCAGCGTGAAATTTGGTGTCAAGCTTGCCATCTGCTTTCGTGTTGATTTTTTGTTTTGCTTATTCTTCGACCCTGAAAATGGAGGTGACATGTTCCTCGGAAACGTCGGTTGACTTTCAGTGGACTACAAGGCGTTAATATCCCAGATGATAAAACTCTTCTACTGATTATATTGGTCTTAATTTCTTTGAATGTAATTCAGCATTTCAACGGTGCTGCAACTGACAAAGAGAGATTTACATGTCAACAGTTCCAAAAGTCAATTCCCTAATGCCAGTGAGATACTATTTTTTTATTGCTAGTGGAATGGGATTAAGTCCCTTGTACTGCGGCCACTTCTGGCCTATTGTACCAGCCCCAGATGATAGGTGAGGGTGATTGTGGAGCAATTGGTGGAATGAAGATTGGCAGGGGAAACCGAAGTACTTGGAGAAAACCTGTCCCAGCGCCACTTTGTCTACCACAGATCTCACTTGACCAGACCCCGGCATCGAACCCGGGCCACCGCCGTGGAAAGCCAGCGTCTAACCGCTTGAGCTATGGCGCGGGCTCCCCAGTGAGATACTAATAGCCAGCAACGATGCTTTGGTCATTACTGGTGGTCAAGACACCATATTATTCTATTTCTGGTGATTTATATTGATTTCTCGTGAAGGTATGAGTGATTTGATATATGTTATAATTTATTTGCAATCCTAGAGTTGGGTGGTCACTAGTCTAGGTCTAAAATAATCGGTCAAATGAAGGAATGTGTGTTTCTGTTGGCCTGGCCTTTATTGTAGTGGCACTTTGATATAGGCTTACTCAAAATCAATTAGAGAAATATACATATATTCTTATAATATGTGGTGCCTTGTATTCTAATAGATCTTTCCCGACCTATCGGACACACCTCCTGTCTCCACCTCCAGGATAGAGGAGTTAGACGAGGGTTGAAAAAGACGTATGAATTAAAGAAAATTTTATTATTAATGCTAACTTCTATAATTAAATTTCTCAACTCAAAAAATTACACCCATGACATTAGTATTCTGTAGAAGTTCGACAGAAATAAGAAGCATTCTCAGAAAAATCTTACTGTGCTTATCTCACTTCAAATATTTCTGTCCTTACGGAGAA